AAAAGTAGTAAATTTAAACTCAGCTGGATCAAACTGAATTCGATCCGGCCACTATGCAAGCTCCTAAAAGGTATCAACTCAATTTAGCACGAATACATGAACATTTTCTTTGAGATGCACAGGGAACAAAAAGGGTGCGATAGTATCTGGAATGTCAGAAGGCAGCCGACAAGACGACGCCTACTAATTTTGTATTTCACTACGCTATGGACAAGACTGTGGGCTGTGAAGCGCTATTTCTTTGATGAGCAATGACCTCCACACTTCGGTTCGGAGCCACTATAAACGTAACCATGATAGTCGCTTCCAATGGCCCTTTCTTCTTCTTTCCTACCCTCATCCCAACCACGGGTAGTTTCAGAGACCCTAGGAAGGACTCCTTCTCCACTACTCGCTCCTTCGTTTCAATTTCCTCGGGCTCTTCTTCCTCTTCATCTTCCGGATCCACCTCGAGCTTTGTCTTTTCTATCTTGACAGTGTCCTTAACTTCCCAAACTTCGAGGCCAACTTCACCGTTTTCGTTTCCCTCAGTTAGGTGAGTTGTGAAAGATACGGTTCTTCGAGCAGGTAAGGGGGTTTCAGCGGCGATGACCTGTATGTAGTGTTCAGATGAGCCGTCTTCCGAGCCTTCTTGGGGTAAATAGATCCCTAATGCCTTAGTGGTGACTTGGGCATCGAGAACAGTGGCATCCTCTTCGAAAGCGGCTAATAAGGGGTCGTTCGGGGACAGCGAGGCGAGGACGCCAGCTTGAACTGCGGCACCACGACTTAGAACTTGAGATGGATCGATCTCTGACCGAATTTCGGTCGAATCATGCAAGATATTAGCCAATTGGCTGGTCAAACCAGGTAATAATGCTGTGCCTCCAACTAAAATGACTTCGTCCAGAAGAGTATTGTCCATGTTCAGAGACTCCAATAGCTGCTTGACAGCGTCTGCAACTGCGGCGTAAATTCCCTTCATTTCAACATCAAATCGTAGCCGGTTGATGGTACCGCTAAAATCAAGCCCATCTTTGAGGGATTCGACGCTGCAGGCTGCAGCACCAGGACTGGCGCTAAGTGTTCGCTTTGTATGTTCCACAGCAAGCCTCAATTTTGTGAGGGCACGCAAATCGGCAGCTTGGGTACTTGTAGGGGAAAGCTGGACTTTTGTCTTCTTCGTGAATTCCTTCGCAAAAAAGGCCACAAGCTTGTCATCAATGGCATCACCGCCTATATCTGGCGTATGTGAAGACGCAAGAGAGTGAGCAAGACCTTGCTTGATTGACAGGAGGGTGAGATCTAAGGCAGAAGCCCCCAGGTCGAGAATGAGTGAGGTCCGATCACGAGATGGTGGCTTCTCGAGCGAGGAATACGCCAACGAAGCAGCTGCAGCATCATCCAAAAGCTGTAAAACATGGACCCCCGCAGCTTCGGCTGATTTTCTTAGAGCCTGTCTGGCTTCCTGGGAGAAGTGAGTGGGGACTGTAATGACTGCCCCTTGAATCCGCTGGCCCAGGAAGTCTGCAGCAGAATTGACCAAGGATTGTATCACGATCGTCGCTACTGCGGAAACGGTTAAATTTTTTGTGGTGTAAGTTGGTTCCGCCAGTTCTGGTGGAGGTGATTGCAGGGGTGTGGCCGCATGCGATCCTCTGGGAGTTGGTTGCAATGAGGGGACTGCCGGAGCCGGTTCCAAAACTTGAACATTAAACGATGGTTCCCCTTGATGATCGATCACAGGGGCTGCAGCAGTCTTAACGTGTGCTACATCTGTATATCTTGCCTATTCATCAGTGGAGCGTTCATCGCAAGGAAAGTAAAAGCAAACTTTTTTCCTAGAAGATTTCTGAACCCAACTATGGTGTTTTTAGCATTTTTGATCAACTGAGGTTTCGCTTGATTGCCAATATACTGGCATTCTTAAGTTTTTATCCTTGGTGGATGTATCTCTACGCACCACTTCTTCGCCATAAAAAGACAATGCGGTAGCAATTTGACGTTCTCCATCCTCATTTGCAATACAATCAGGTGCATAATCCTGTTGAGCAGCTTTAGCCACAGGCCCTCTATGGCTTCTGGAAACTCGCCTTATTCAAAATGGCGATTGAGGCATATGAATTACCAAAGTTAATTCCCACTACTGGAGGTGCTCTATCATCGATAGTTTGGTCATTTGGTATGCCGTTTGGCTGGGCGGCACTCATGGTCGAAAGAAGGAAAAGGATAAAGCAAGCCGAAATTGGACACTGACACAAACGGTCAAGCCTTCCAACTCTCGGATGGACATTCAGATCCGTCGCGCATGGGTTTACAATCCAAACCGTGCGCAATGGTAAGAAAAACGCCAATCCCAGCTAAACCTCTACTTTTCTAATTCAGGTTGACAGGAGTTTCTTTGCTCTTTCGTTGGGCGTGACGGTCTTATTCTTTCTCTACACACTCTACTGGAATCGGTTTCTAGCGAGAATTGTTTGTTTCTTGCTTCGATATGCCACCTGGGATAATAATGCCCCAGGAAGCTTCTGGCTCGACGCAGGTATGGTCACCAGTACCAATGACATACGACAGGAGGCCGTTGACGAATCAATTCATCTAGAATCAATACATATTTCACTAATTTCAGGACGTATAATGCTCCGCGACGTGAAGTATCACTCTGCAAACCAGACCATCCGGGCCGTAAAGTGCTTCATCACATGGAGATACTGGCTTTGGAGAGTTCATGAGAATAGTGACATCCAACAAGATGGTAAAGAGGAGGGAATAGGTATGTGAGTGGCCTGATGTTAAATTCTTGCTCACTTCGGTCTCCAGATAATGAGGGCAATCTAAACGCTCCATGTCGTATTCTATTGCAGTTCGAAGGCTTGGAGTGGCTCATGTACAACCGTAGCATGGTATTCGACGATATCCTCGAGCAAGTGCAGAAGGCAGAAACTCAAAATGAGCGTGCAAAGGACAACAAAGCTGACCGGAGCAAATGGAGCCCCGAAACACGAGTTACCTCCGTGCATGCTCGTGAACTGACACAGTCAGCGGTTATTCCCAAGCCCCTTCACGAGCAACCTTATGCCCCCTTTGGCATTCGTCTCAGGCTACCGCGATTTGACCTTCCCTCTCAGGTTTGGTCATGGTTGACGTCACAACTACCTACATTTAACCTCAATGACTTGCTTCCAATCGCATTACAAGCTAAAAGAGGGGCGATCATGCTTGGTAATCCTTCTACCCCAGTCATTTTTACTGCGAGGTTCAAATCGGGCCGTGGCGTCTATTGCCTCCAGCCGGTATGTTATTCGTTGCATAAGGAGCTATACTTATGTTTTCTCTCTGTATTAGTCTAGGTCTTCCCATGATCAATATCGGCAAACGTACAAACTCAGCTTTAGTCACGTATCTCTGACCGCAGAAGATAATCCAGACTATGAATTACCTATGGTTGAAACAGGGAAAAAGTTATACAACCAGGTCCTTCAGGAAAAACCGGGGTCTATGATGGGCTATGCATTCTCAACCTTCCGCACCGCGATTTTTGGCATACCCATTTTTAATATTCGGAAAACCGAACCTCCTGTTAGGGCACCTCCCAAACCATGGACGGGGCTTAGTACATTCATGACCGAAGCAGAGAAAGAACAAGCCCGACGGCAAGCCCACGAAGAGAGCAAAAGACTAGCAGAGCAGAGGCGTCATGAAGTAGGACCTGAATATGCGATCGAGAGGAACATCTTGGAAACACCGAGCCTGGAAGTGATATATTATGCAGATGTTGCGGGATTGGTGCCCACAGATCCTCTTTCGCTAGAGGGTACTCACGAATTCATCGATATCGGGAACGGTGATATAGCTCCGCAGTGGGGGGTCGACTTAGTGATGCATGGGGGGACACTCACTTATGGCCCTTGGGCTGATCGCCAACGTGCACACCTACAGAAGGCATTATTCCCCCCGACATATGCCGATTCATCACCTATTGAACTCTTAAAGCCAGGTGATACTCGTGTGTGTACAGAATTTCGTCTATTCTTAGAGCTTGACAGTGAAGTCAAACTCCGTGTACCCACGAGAGAGAAATCTAAAGATTGGCAATTTGACCAACTGCCAGACTTAGGCCAGAGTCGTAGAAGTATGGCTCAGGTCGGCTGTAGTATTGCAGCAAATTCTACTCTTACGTATACAATGCCGATCGTAGCATCAGAAAGCGGCTATGCCACCACATTAAAGATTCAGCTCGCGCAAATCTCTATGGATTCCAGCGTCAATAACAAAGTCTTTTTGAAGGCAGAAGCATGTCGGGTACGTGAGACCAAGGCCAGTCAGCATCACATCCTGAAACTTTGCAGATTCAATGTGAACTTCCGACACCTCTATATTGGAGGAAGGAAAGGCAATGGTGTTTTCATATCGCTCTTCAACAGCCAGATATCTATCTCCTTCGCGATCATATTACTTTATTCACTGATCTCGGGAAAGATTGGAGCTCTGGACCGCCAACGAGCATGACCCATTTTATCCCAATGTTATACACTGTCCGACTCGTCCTCAAGGATTACGCTATATCGCTTAATGTTAACGATCAAAACATAATCGATTCTCCGACTGACCCGGATGCTAATGGTATGTTTTTAACAAGCTAATGGAGAATTCCCTGACGTGGCTTCCAGTTCTCTTCACATTGAAGGGCTCGAACCTGAATAGCTCTGTTGATATTCCGTCTCTCACCTACAGACCAGAAGCTACAACTGTCCCATTTTCGTTGGATTCTGCCGACAAGCTAGGACTATGGCTTACGTTTCCAAAATGGAACACCAGGGCCGCACATGCCACAGAACAACTCGCCGAAATTGGCAGAATTGATAGTATCAGAGTAGATGGATCTTATCGCTACTATTCTGACGTTGATCCTGCGTTTGTGGATCGCTTAAAACTTGATATCAAGGTCAGCACTTTATAACATTTAGCAACATCCATAACGCTTGTTCCAGGGTCGTACCTGTACCTTCAAATGTTTTGGATGGGTCATTAGACACTTCATGGTTCTACAAGCTAATTACTTTGGCTCATTTACTAATTTCATACTTCCTTCGGAGGCGATCATGAAAAGAGGGCGAGGACATCCATTGGGCGACCCTATTGACGCAAAGTATCGAGAAGGGCAGGTAGGTATTTGATTCAGTCAGAGGAAGTCTAGAACAAATCGACTTTTTAGTTCAATACCACCGAAGTTTCAATGGAAATCCACGTCTCTGATTCTACTGTCGTCCTACCGGAAGCATTTCTTGGATACGAAAAGGCAGATAACCCATCATCCGGAGATCTGCATGGTGTCGGCCCTTGCGTTCTTTTAGCAGTACCAGATTTGTCTCTATCATTTCGCCTTCACGATTATGCCATGGGTAAGCAAGACGGGCCCAATATGTCACCCGAAATTCTGACGATTCTTTCCTGTTTAACCACGTAGAAATGACACTCAACGTGCATCCGGTCCAAATATCTTCCGAAGCGGACTGTTCAGATGAAATGTTATGGTCTGCTGCCACCCATCATCTACGTCGTACCACCATCTTGACCATATCTGGTGTGTTCACACAATTTCAATTTCATATTCAGTCTTATCTCAACTGCAGAGCTGAACATTATTGCACATCGACTGTTTGGCCCTAGGCCACATAATGCTACATACGTCTGCATTTGGGAGATAATGGCTGGCGACATTAGAGGAACCGTGTCACCCTCAGATATTCCCAAAATCGCTGCCGCCCTTACGTCTTTTCAATTAAACTTCAAAGATGAATTGAACGCCCCAGCGCAAGAGTATATGCCAGAGCTTTTCCCGGATGGTAAGAATTCTCCGCTCAATCCTATC